AGCAATAATTCCAAAGACTTAAGGACATGAGGAGATAATTAATTATCTTTAGAATTTAGTACTTCTCAAATATCCTATTATATACACTACAGTTTCAGGTCAATCCTAGAAGCTATACAACAGTGGACCAGTCATTATTTCTCTTGTTAACAGTAAATCCTTCCAAGACTACATATTTAAACTTCATTGTAAATGTAAGGAACCTTGGCCCCAATTTTGAATTTGAATCAGAACTGGCTATTCTCATGACTAAAATAGGGCTATTTAGTTATTAAATCTTGTATTGACCAAATAGTTACAGCTATTGTGTTCTGTGCCCAGTTCACTCCATTTCTGGGAATCATCTTGTTTTCCTTTGCTCCATTTATATGTTACAATGGAAGCTGTCATGTTTTTACAAGAGGACCTTTTTTATCTGGTAACAGGCAATGTGCCCAGCGATGGGTCCCTGACTCAAGCTGGGCAAATCAGCTCTCTCCACAAAAATGTTACCTTGGAGCCAAGAAAATTTTATGGAGGGTTCCTCCAGGAGACTGAACAGGAACATGTAAACTTGGAGTTTGTTGTAACCAAACTTTCAACCATGTGGATTAAAAAAGAAGATAATGCCAGGCCTAGGCCTGCGGAAGGAAAGAGAGATGTAAGATGAAGACGGAGTCTTGTTCTTATTCAACTGCCTGTGTTTATTTTATTCCTGAGGCTCTGCTGTATCTCTCCCCTTAATTTTCATCCAAAACTCATGTAATCTACTGAATTTTCTTGTCTATTTAAGATCATTGGGCTAGATTCACATTTCTTGCATTCAAGAGTCTTCACTAAAGCATGCCATGGTTCTGTTGAGGACTTGGAAAAACATCATAAATATTTACCACTGGAAGATATCATCAGTGATCTTCTGTCTCATTATTTCTGAGATATTAGATAAAAAAGATGGCACACATCATTAAACAGGTTTGGGAAAAAATGAGTTGAACAAAGCTAAACTTTTTTCTTTCTTTTTTTCCCTTCTTGACTATACTCTCAGAGCCTTTAAAATGCCCTCTGCATTGTGAATCTCTAAGGCCACAGCATTTTGTGAAGCATTTTGTACCCATGTGAGATCCTGGACTCTTCTGCGAGGTGTATCACCAGAAACAGTACTTCACAGAAAACCCTCTCCAAATGCTGATCTATCCCAACTGCGTAAAGAAGAAATCAAGGCCAAGACATTTTATTTAACCCAACCCATAACCAAAAGAGAACCAGCACTAAATACAAATTTGTATGGGTGCCACAGGACTGCCAGTGTCTCAGAGTGATAAACTGAGAGCGTTACTTTACATAAGAAATTTGGCAACAGATGTCACTGGAACAGAAGGAGCAACTGACAGACAAGACCCCTTGAGCATAACTGTTTCACCTCGACAGACTCCTTAAAAAGAGACCACTGAGCCAAGTGACCTGAAGACTCTTCACTGAGCACCGACTCTATCTGCTAAGAGCTGGCCCAGATGGACCCTGCCGGAGGGCCTGTGGGAGCAGAGGGTGGCTTCCCACTCACATTTGCCTTGTCCCTTGCTGGCCAGAGACTGCAGCTCATGCTGAGATGCCTCCTTCTAGAACTTCTCCTTGGAGTGGTTTGTTACCCCGTTTCCTGTTTTCCCCACTTTGACTAACCTACACTGTGTGCTAATTGTGTGCAACAAACCCAGTGACGAGTGGCCACATTCTGTATGTCCCCAATGCCATGACTTGCCTGGCCTTGCCACTGGGCCCTGTGACAGAGAAATGGAATTATGTATGTAATTTGAGCTCTCTTTATTAAAGGAGCTGTATTTTCTTTGCACTTAAGTTGTTGTATCTGAACTTTGGCCCGGTATTTTCAGAGAGAGGGAGGGACAGAAACAGAGAAACAGAGTCGGGGAAGGGCAGAGAGGAAATATGGACTTAGAATTCACAGAAGTTCTAAGAAGACATGATTTCAATAATATTTCTTTGCTAATTTCTAAAGCAGAATCTAAACTGTGAATCTCACCAGTTACTTAGTCATATAAGAAACAATTTCAAAGAAGAAGAAAATCTATTTATACCATCTGGAAACAATAATAGGAAAACATATTTACGGAAATCAAAATACTCTTGACTAATATGCCTTCAGTTTCTACTAGCAAGTCTGCAGACACCAGCTTTCACTAAAACGTAGCTCTAGTTAAAATCCTTCTTTTCAATATTGTGTTTTTAACTGAAAATTTGTATGATTTAATTTTGTTACCCGGAGAGTAGACAGTGACTTCAAGTTTCTCACAGTCAATAAATGTTTCTCTTCTCTTTACTTTCTTCCTCACCCCTCAATACAATCACAGATTATTTTTCCAGTCCTCCAAACACAGTCATCACAAGCTTCATATGGTCACTTAATACTTCTAATTATTAAAGCAAGTTAATATATAAACATAAACAAAACCAAACCAAACAAAGACCAGGTACCTAAAAGGTGCTACAGTTTGTAGAGCATGGACTTTAATAAGTGGCAATAAATGATGGATATTCATAGATGGCTACTTACAGTCACCTTGGGTCTTCAGAGGAAGAGGTGTGAAGAAGGCCAGCTTTATAGACGCTGTCATGAACTTACCTGCAGCGTCACGTAGTACAACCTTGTTAAAGCTCATGTTTCCGACCCAGCACAGAAGGGGCAGCACCATTCAACAAGTAACCCCAGACAGACTCTGGATCTCCCGTTTCATACCCCATTTCTTCAGGTCATATCCTCCAAACAGTCACACCATCCGATAATTCTGCCTCCCAATTTCACAAACATTTCTCTAGTTAGAACTTGATCGTCTCTTGGCCAAGATTGTTTCAGATTCTTTTTCTCTCCTTTCCTCTATATTCTACCTTGTCACCAAAAGGATTGTGATTTTTAATCTTTGTTACTGTAACAATAAATGTAGCTTTTAATTTTGTTGCTTTGTTGAACAATTATGAACAACAAGGTATTGTGCTGAAAAAGTCCCCTAACACATACTATTCCACAAAATTGTCACAATAACTTTGAGCTGGATATCCTTATTTACCACACTTGCAGTAAATGCCAGAACCAGAATCCCAAAGAAATCCTTGTGTGCCACTTTGAAATAAGTAGGCTCCTGGTAAATATTTAATGGAGATCAAATGTCTTTCCCTTGAGCTCACCACCACCTAACAGCTCCTGATTAATGAAATGAGAAGGGAAGGCATTTGCTAAGTAATAATCAATGCAGAAGTTCACTTTTCATCTAAAATATCTATAAGGAATCGCAGGCGCAATTTTATGGGCAATAAAGCAGTTTTTTTTAAAAAAAGCTTTAGAAAGAAACAAAAAAGCAAAGATATTCTAAACACCAGTTGAAGGCAACAGTTTTACAAGCCAGGCCATCAAGAAGTCAATGTGAGAACACAGACCATAAAACACTACCTTTATATTTCCTTATATTCTGAACCGAGGGGGACACCATATTAGTCATCTTGGATTTTAAATTTGTTTTGAGCAACATTTTGTATAAATCCAGTCTAGATAATGGTCAAAGTCTGAATCCCAGCAAAATCAAAGAGGACATCCATGATCATGTGTTCTCTGAGAGAAGCTACTGCGTCAAGTACATGGTGCCGTTTCCTGGGATCCTTACACCACTATTTGCCAACGGTCTTACTTGGAATATTAGTTCCACGTTGTACTTATAAGTATTTAAAGTCTTATTATAAAAGGATTTGGTGTTGCAGTAAGGCTAGGAAACAATGCATCAGTTAGGGCAGAGCTTCTCACACATGTGCACTATCATGCCATGGGTTACAGCAGAGGGAGATTTGGAACACCTTAGCCCTTCGTGTGCCCAGGGCACTGTGACGCCAGAGACAGAGATGATCAGCTTCATTTACACACCCCGGAATACTGAACAAATTGTGTTATTTTCCACCAGTGCCAGAACTTGAAAAAGGCTGAAACATTGAGCTAGTTTTTTTTTGTTTCTAGAAACAGACATCACCTCTTGATAAACTGACCAAAAAAAGGGAACTCGTTGATAACACCAACAAACATGCATATAATGGGTGAAAATGTACATTGTCAAAGGACACTGCCATTCCATGTAAAGGCAGTTAAGTCTAGGTGGTCAGAAGCAGCCAGACTGGCCCTACTCGGGTTAAAGAAAAGAAATAGGACTTTGGGTTTTCAGTAGTGCTTTTGTTTTGTTTTGATTAAGTTTAATTGTTTTACTTAATTTTTAAAAATTTTAATCTGCATTATAAATCATACAGAAAACATATATGCATATTCTCTGTGTGGTCAAAAACAATAGCTACTTGATCACAGAACCTTTATTCATAACATTTCAAGAAACCAAAGCTCTACGAAGCATACTTTGGTAAATTTGTCTTATAACTACATTTGCTTAAGAGGCCTGTTCTTACACATTTCAACTGCATTTGAATAAAATTAAAAAGCAGAGAAATGTAGAAACATAATTAACAGTTTTAACAAGAAGTTATAAATTATCAAGTTGGTAATCATCACAACTTCACTTTTGTACTAGTTAATCTTTTAACTCTGGTGAGAAATTGGAGTGAACGTGAGAAGAGATGAAAACTGTAGCTCTCAGCACAGTGGCTGCTTAACAAATGGGATGTTTTAAATTCTTTATCAGAAAGACTACCAGAACTCAGAGCCCATCTGAAACTGCCAGGCTTCTTAAACATAAATTAAAAGCAAAAGATAAACACTAGTAAGGCGAAAACATATCCACATTGGCTCATGTTTCTCCCTGATTTTTCCCATCCATGTGAAGGCAGCCACCGTCCTCTGAACTGCTCGATCGAATCACTATACTTTCGGGGTGTGCTCATCTCGCCAAACCGGTACTAAGTTGATTTGTTTATTCCACCTCCAATAACAAGTTACATGTATGCAATTCTGTCTATTTTCATCTTACCAGCCTGGTTCAAGCCATTATCATTTGTTCTCCACTCTGTGGTGGTCTACTCACCAGTCTCCCATGGAAACGAATCCCGTCTTCCTTTAAAAGCAATCTCCAAACAGGAACTAAAAAAAAAAAAAAGCAATTAATAGGCTTAAAAATCTTCCTGCTGTAAAACTGTCAGTCCCATTCCAATACTCTTTAAAATCAGGGCTTCTGATTATGACCTCTAATGCCACCTTCTGTGATTTGTTCCCTATTATTTCTCCAGCTTTAACCTATTGCCCCCTTCCCAGAATATACAGCAAATAGCTTAGGTCTCCTGCACACGTTCACTGGGATTTAGGATGCTCTTCTGCTGCTGTTTTCAAGTCTTACCTCCCTTCACCTGTCAGGTTCCAATCTCAGTATTACTCTTCCTTTGAGAGCTTTGACAAGAAAATCAAAACAACTCTTTCCCTTCCTCCAGACCCTCAACATTCACTATTAAAGCATCTCATTTGCTTCCTTTGTGGAATTTCAGAATTGTAGATTATATATACATATATCTTTATTACTTGTCTCCCACAATAGATGCATCCTATGGAAGCAGACACTTCATGTTCTTTAGTCATAACTGTGCACTCTGTGCCTAGTTGCTTGCCTTCCGTCTAACAGGTCTCAGGACAAATGTGTTAAATGAATGAATGAATGATGACTGGGTCTCTCTTGTCCTCATAGTTATTCTTCACAGGAAAGAAGTTCTTTAGGGTTCCTGGACCCAGTTCCAATGCGTGTGTTTGGTGCAGGTCTTCCTCACACAGCAACAACCAATTCTCAGACACCATCATCAGGGTGCAGAGCCTCCATGCTCTCTGGATGTGCCACTCTCCCAGAAACTCCATGCATTAGCCAATCTGGAAGCTCTCTAAACCCTCTCCTCAGGGGGTTTTCATGGAGGCTTCATTACACAGGCCTGGAAAATTAAATGGCTGGCCCCTGGCAGTTAACTCAACCTCCAGCCCCTCTGCACACCTGGAGGTTGGGCTGAGACTGAAACGTCCAACCCTCCAGTCACCTGGTTGGTTCTTCTGACAACCAGACCCCAACCTAAGGTGATCTAGGGGCTTTCCAAAAGTCGTCTCATTAAAGTACCAAAAAACACCATTCTCTCTCTCATCACTTAAGAAATTCCAAAGGCTTTAGGGATGAAGACCAACTATATATTTATTATAAATCAAAATACCACAGGGGCTTCTTATCTCACTGCTGCTTTCTCTATCCCCCAAAGCAATGAAAACTCCTGACAAATGCCCGTTCTGATTACATAACTGACTCAAATGATGGCAAAGTGAACTGCGTGCTGGGTGTTAGTCTCCTGGGGAAACTGGGCTATGTGCGCCTCTCCACGCTATCAGGTAGTAATAAGGACAGAAGATGCTTCGTTGCTATCTTGCTTTCACTCTTAGAAGTCATTTCCAATGAGGAGTCTTCTAGAAAATTATCAGTTTACCCTGCATTCAGATCATATAAGTGCTGTATGTTACAGCTACATTAAAGCACCTCATAGGAAAATATGCAGTAAAATACCAATCCCTTTCTTGTCTTCCCTTTTTGAGAAATGTTGACTTTTATATATTGGACAGTATAATCCTGCTGCTCTCCAAACAGCCTAACACCATTCAATTAAGAAAACTTCCCAGCTGGCATAGCCAATAAATATTTGAATTTTTCTAAATGTTTTTCAGGATCTTTCTTGAGTCCCAAGGCCCCCAGTTTTCACAATATTGCAATCTGAATGTGAGTTTCTTTTCATAGCCTCAAGGTTAGCAAAAGAAGTAGAATGAACTTTTTTTTTTAGATTACAATTTCTCAAAAATAGTGTGTAGAAAAAAAAGCAAAGAGTATGTCTTGAAATTATTCAGCAATCACTTTTAAAATACTTATATTTAAATCAATGTTTTGGAAAACATTTATAAAAGAATTCAATTATCTTTGGTTATAAATATGAATTTAAATAAATCAGTTGTTGCTAAAATACAGAAGATCATTTTGGCTTCCATAAGAATATAATAAAGCTTTGCTGTTTCACATAAATTTGATGCTGAGGACATCTCTTCTTATCCAGGAATAAAACATAAATGACATAATAAATAATACAAGAATATTGAAACATAAAGCAACTAGAGATTTTATCATTCATTAATATAAATTACTCATCTTGATGATTTTATGAAATAATATTTAAGTGATCTTATATAATATTTTATGAAACTCAAAGGGCTGAATCATCTGGTGGTTAGTAGTTAAAAAAAAGAAAAACCTCAAGAGGTGAAGACTTGCTGATACTCCACGGGATTGTTTCCTAGGGCTATTCTGACAAAATATTACCAACTGGCTGGCTTAAACAACAGAAATTTATTGCCTCAAAGTTCTGCAGGCTGGAAATACAACATCAAGGTATCAGCAGGGTTGGTTCCTTCCAGAGGGTCTGAGAATCTGTTCCAGGCCTCTTGTTCAGCTTCTGGTGGTCTGCTGGCAATCTCTGGCACTTCTCGGCTTGTAGGACCATCACTCTGATCTTCATATGCCTTCATTTTCAGGTGATGCTTTCCCCATGTGCAGGCCTCTATGCACACGTTTCCTCCTTTTTGTAAGGACAACAGTCATACTGGATTAGGGTCCACCTTAATGATCTCATCTTAACTGTTACATCTGCAGTGACCCTATTGCTAAATAAAGTGTCATTTTGAGGTACTGGGGATTAGAACTTCAATATGTGGATTTTTGTGGGGATAAAATTCAACTCCTAACTCTTACTATCTATGAAGAATTTGCACTTAATTTCTTCATTTAATCCACATACTAGCCCCATAAGAGGTGTCATTATTTCCACTTTTAAGTAAAGAGACTACAGTAATTTAAGGAAATTAAATTATCCAGAGTCACACAAGTGGTAAATGCCAGATCAAGGAGTTAAAGCAAGACTTCACTGAATCCAGGCCCCATGTCTTCAGAATGACATTTCAAAACTCCTAAACAAACACAACTTTCAAACCAATTTCATTATAGCATATGTCTAAAAGTAGCCATATGTATTCCCAAAGAGTCACTATTTAAAAGGATGGTCATATTTATGGCATTGTTTATGGTGACAGTTTCATGGGTGTACACTATCTTCAAACTCATCAAGATATATACATTAAACATGTACAGAGTTTTTGTATGTCAATCATATCCCAATTTTTTAAAAAAATGCAGTAGGGAGAAATAAATACAAGTCAGCAATATGAAAAAAATGACAGGGGTAGAGAAATGGCATGTAGATATTTTGAAAGAAGTATTATTATTTATCCCCCAAAGATTTTTCTTTTTTATGGCTTCCCTGCTGCATATGCATAAGTAGCAAATAGAAAATAATATCCAAACTTAGTCTTCCTGAGTCATAACTCAAAAGACGCTAACGAAACAAAGACACAAGTCTGTGTCTTATAAAACCTCACCTCTAATCCAGGCAGCTCTTCTGTGACTTGTGACTTCATCTTTGAAATTTTGGACCAGATAATATATTCCTTTGCAATCAACTTTATAATATTGAAAAATATCTAATATATTTTATTATAAGGCCTTTTCAAGCCGTTAACTTCTATTACAAATACG